CAGTGGAGTTGAGCAGAGCAGCCTTAGTGGTGTGGTTGTATCAGGTGTGCCTGATTTTGTGATGACAGGTGGCCTTTTAGTGGAGTTCAGGCTCTGAGCCCTCAAAGCAGTAATGGGACGAGTTGTGTGTGATAGCAAGGCTGATCCAGAAAGGTTTGATGAAGCTGTCCCAGAAGAGTTGCCGGTCCTTAGCAGCCTGGCTGGTGTGTGATGTACATTCCTGAGACGTTCCTTCCTCTGTGTTTGATGAAGTGGATGCTGTTACATAAGGGCATTAAGGCATTGGATCGTGGCTTCAGAGCACAGTGCAGGCAGTTGGAAGGCAGGAAGGTGACGAGTTGGAATCATAGTGTGGGCCCAAATTCAGCAAAGCATTACTGCTAAACGGGGGCCTGGGGTATGTTTTCAGTTTTTGTGATTCCTGTGAGACTTGAACGCCTGTTTATCGGTTTGCAGTGCAGGTGCCTAGGAGCCATGTTTTTTGTAGGGAGAGCGGTGTGCTTGCGTAGCTTGTGTGCTCTTGAGCAAGGGCATGGTAAAAAGCAGTCCTGGATGTTGGGTGAGGAGCAGGGAGAGAGGCGAGCCCAGTGTGGAGACAGCAGGGGAAGCAGCTGGCTTCCACCCAGCGCCCCGGTGGAGTGGCAAGGTGATGAGATGAAGCAGCGTTGAAGGTGTTTTTCCAGGAGCTGTGACTTCCAGGGCTCGGGAGCAGAGCTGTCCCTGGGGTTGCTTTCACGGGACACCACCCAGCCCTCCTCAGGACCCACGGAGAGTGTGTGGGTGACAAAGGTGTCACTGAGCGACAGCTTCAGGGTGGGAATGCGGGGAACACAGCGCCCAGGGGGGAGATGGGCAGCCTGGGGAGGTGGGGGGGAAGGTCAGCCGCAAGGAGAGAGTCTGCCCCCATTGGAAAAAAGGGCCTGTTGAATGCCTTGGGTGAGATGTTGGAGAACAGGAAGTCAGTGAGGTGAAAATGTGCCACCTGGGTACCGTTTGAGCCCCCCAACCCCACAAGTGCTGAGCAAAGCTCTCCACGCCCCCTGGTGCTCTTTGCAGTTCCCCAGTCAGCTCCCGTTGCCTCTCGGCGTTGCCTCGACTCTCCTTGTGCAAAGTCGGTGCCCCCGATGGAGATGTTCAGCCTGGAGGAGCTGGAGGAGCGGCAGCTCTTGGCTGCCTGCAGCCACCCCAGCATCCCCAGAGATGGGCACGGGGACCTGGGGGGGCTTTGGTGCTGCATGAACGACTGCAGGCAGAGGTGTAGCAAAGGGAACGCAGAACATTTAATAGTGCAATGTACAAAACAGTGCATAAATGACAATATTCCCGACCATTTCCCACCCCTAACAACAGGGGCCCCTAACAGCCCCCCCTGCTCCCTCCCACCAATATTTTCTTCCCCCTCCAAAAAACTTCCCAGCCTCCCTAAAATCCCACACCAGCAATTCCTTCCTCCCAATTCCAGCAATTTTGGAGTACAATATTATCAGAGTTCAATTTCTGACCCAGAATTGCCACCCCACAAAATTCCTTCCCCCTCTGCTGGCAGGCGAGATCCGTGCCCGGTAGCTACCCTTCCCTCCTCCTTGGCATGACTGCAAGTGCTTTGGCTTCCTCCAGAGAGATGCTTTGCTCTGACTGGCAGCCTCAGGCTCCTTCTGGGCTGGCGACCCTGCAATTGCATCTGTGCTGGAGGAAGCAGCACACCCAGTAGCTACCCTTTCCTCCTCCCAGGCACGGATGCTAAGATTCTGGCCTGCTCCAGACTGGGTGGGCATCTGTGCTTTGCCCTGGCGGTGCATTCTTTTCCTTGGTTTGTTGGTGTTGCTGCTGCTGCTGGCAGGGTTGTTGCTGGTTTGCACTGTGCCCAGAAAGCGTCCCGAGTCCTCGTGCTGGCCGCCGTGCTGACAGCGGCAGCTTGGCCTAGCGCCGGCGTTTGTGGCGTGGCGCACGGTGGCAGCGTGGCAGCTTCCTGTCTGTGGCTGGGATGCTGCCAGCGTGCTGCCTGTGCGCGGTGCTCTGGCCTCTGGTGGTGGAGCAGGCGGGCGTTGGGCTGGTGGGCGGCGCGGTGCTGTCCCCGTGGTGCTGGTCTGCCAGCCGGCAGGAGATGCATCCGGCTGGCAGTGCGAGGTGCCTGAGCAGCACGTGGGGCTGTTTGTGCGGCGCCTCTTCCACGAGCCGCCCAGTGCGCAGCAGAGGAGGCACGGGGCGCTTGGCTGGCTCGGTGCTGTCCCCGTGGTGCTGGTCTGCCAGCCGGCAGGAGATGCAGCCGCGTGGCAGTGCCAGTCGGGGGAGAACCACCCGGGGCTGCCTCTGCTGCACCTCTGCCATCGGGTGTGCAGTGCTGGGCGATGGAGGTGTGGGGGAAGGCAGTGGGCTGGGCAGTGCCAGGCGGGTGAGAATCACCCGGGGCTGCCTTCGCAGCACCTCTTCCATCAGGTGTGCATGGTTTGGCGATGGCGGTGTGGGAGCAGCCAGGGCGCTTGGCACGGGCAGCTGAGGGGATGCTGCCTGGTGCCCAAGTGAGTTGTTGAGGAGCCCAGGTTCAGCATCTGTGTCGCTGCTGAGCTCCCGGCTGGCCCTGGGGGAGTGAGGCAGCTCTGTGATGGAAGAGGAGTTGAGGCTGCTGGAGGCACGTGCGCTCGGTGGTTCTGTGGCAGTGGTGCGCTGCGTCAGCTCTTCCCTTTTGCAGCTGTCCAGAGCACTCACAGCTTCTGGAATAGCAGAACATCCCCCGGAACGATGATGGCAGCCTTCCCACCCCCGCTTGGTGCAGACACCCACCGGTCATCTGTGCAGACCACAAACTCACCTTCAATCCAGGTGAGCAAACGGTCGATTTCCACATGGCCGGCAAGACTGTTGGTGCTGGGTCTGTCTTCTGGGCAATGGAAGAAATGCCCAGTGGGGCAATGCCAGCTTTCCCCCAGCCACTCAGAGCAGACAGCCCCCAGCAGCTGTGCTGCTCCCAAACTCACCGCTGTTGATCCACGTGAGCAGATCGTCCATGTCTGCGGTGTCGTGCAGGATGCCTGGGTTGGCTGTCACTTCTGAAGAAGCAAGAAAATCCCCCGTGGGGCACTGCCAGCTTTCCCGCGCCCACTGGGTGCGAGCACCCCCCCGCCAGCTCTGCTGCCCCCAGACTCACCCTGGTTGATCCACGTCAGGAGCTCAGCGATGTCCTCGGCGATTTCCTCCGGGGTGTCTGCGCTCGTTGTGGCTGCTGGAAAAGCAAGAGCATCCCCAGTGGGGCGGTGCCAGCTTTCCCACAGCCCCGTGGAGTAGACAGCCTGCCGCCTGCCCTGCAGCCCCTGAACTCACGGCCTGATTGCAGCGAGGCAGTGCTGCAGGTGAGCGGAGCCGTGGCAGGGTGGGGGCACACGTCGGTGGGCGCTGGGTGCCCCTGTTCCTCCGAGAGCAGCACGGCATCTTGGAAGGTCTCCATCGGTGGCTCCCAGGTGGTGGGCAGGGTGCAGGGCCCGGGGAGCACCTGCTCCTGCAGGGAGGGTACCTGCAAAAGAGCTGGGGAGGGGCCGGGGCGCCCGGGGGCCTGTGGCAGGTAGGTGCCTGTGGGCTGCGGGGGCTCCGCGTGGAGGGGCACGGCCCCAGGCCACAGCCCCATCGGCCGCTGGGCTGGCAGCGTCCCTGCAGACAGGGGACGTCCTGAGCAGGGAGCAGGGGCGGGGGGGGGAGCCGTAGCTGGGTGCAGCCCCCCAGGTAGGAGCAGCAGCACCGGTGAGTGCAGCCCTGCAGTTGAGGTCAGGCCCACAGGTGGCAGCTGAGCCAGGACTGGGGTCGGCCCCCCGGGTGGGAGCTGCGCTGCCTGTCCCCAGGCACCTGGTAGCCCGGGCCAGACAGAGGGCTGAGGTGCCAGGTGGGTGGCAGTGGGGACAGGGAAGGGTTGGGGGGGTACCGGCATCGGTCCGCGGACGGTGGGCTGCATCCAGGCGGGGTCCGGTGGCGGCACAGTCGCGTCAAAGAAAGTGGCGTCGGGTGTCAGAGGCACCGTCAGCGCTCGAGGGAATCTCTCTGTGGGGAAATGCCAGACGGGGCGCTGGGCTGAGAGCCGGGGCATTGGGATGGGATCCAGGTCACAGGAGTGGGATCTGGGTGCTGGGGTGCGATCTGGGTCACAGGGGTGTTTTCTGCAGCTCTGGGCTGAGATGTGGGGTCCCAGGGGTGAGATGTGGGGCGCTGGGGTCAGCTGGAGCGTCAGAGCAGGGGGAGCTGCTGCCTTACCTGCCATGACAGCTGGAGAGTGGCAGTTGGGGGAGCCCCTCCCCCCACGGGGGCTCTGTGACCGTTGGGCTCAGCCCCTTTCCCCCCGGCTTGCCGTGCTTTGCCTTTTCGTACCCAGACATCCTTCCCATCCCCGTTGTTTCCCATCCCCAGGATCAGTGACTGTATGGATGGGCTTTTTGCAGCCCAGTGCCCTTCCTTCCCAAGGGTCTGCCCGTCCCAGTGAATAAGATGAGAGAGCCCCAAGGTCCTTGGTTTATTAAGGGCCTTTTTCTCCATCTCTCGGTTGTTTGTTCTTCTTTTCTTTCTGTTGGTCTGACATACTTGGCCCATCAGGTAATTCAGCAGGGAGTTGTGCGTTCTTGCAAAGCTGTGGCAGGTGGGTGCGTGCACTTCACTGCTGGTATGACAAAGCTGAAGATGCCGGAGCTGTGGGAGAGCTCTGGGAGTTGGATGGAGAGTTCTTGACCAAGGAAGAGCCCTTTGGTCCCAGCCCCCTGGGGAGAGGGTGGGATTGCTGAAGGGAGAGAGAGGTCTTTGAGTGATGTGAGGGGTCTGGGAAGGGAGCTGACAGGTTTTGGGTTCCTTTGCTGTGCTCTGCACAGGCTTTGACAGTGCTGGGGTTCGATTTTGAGTCACTCTGAAGAGCAAATGAGACAAAGGGTGTTTTGTGCAGCCTGGAACCCCTACAGAAGTAGGGGCTGCTGCCCAGGGTAGGTGCCCTGTCTCCACAATTGCTGACCACACTCTTCCCTTCTCCACAGTGACCACGGCCATCCCCTGAAGCTCCAGTCATGAAGACCCTGTACGTCATGTCTGATGGCCATCTGTCTGCACTGCCCATGGCTGTGATGGGTGCAGCTACCTCATGTCCCTTCAAACTGCCAGGCATCCAAGCTTCTCCTCCACCAGCTCTCCACTGACTGCAACGCCTTTGCCACCACAATGCATGGTGCTGGGGCAGGCCCAGACTCCCACCCTGACAGCAGGCCCGTTTCCAAAAACTCTGCTCACTTCCTCATCCTGCTGGCTCGTGAGAAGATCCTGTTGTCAGCTCTGCCAACCAGCACAGCAGAGGTGGGATTGTTACGGGCAGTTGGAAGAGAGCAGGGGAATAACCATTTCCCGCTTTGGCTGTTATTTGTTGAGAAATGCTGTCTGGTGAGTGTTGAGTCAGGGCCTGAAGCACTGATGGAGCATCTGGGGAAAGGACCCAGTCAGCCCTGGGAGCCCAGGTGAGGGCAGTTCAGTTGTATGATGGAATGAGTGGAGCCTGGCTGCCCCTCTCTTAGACCTCACTGAAGGGCTGACCCTGCACTGGGCAAGGATCTCTGGTTGGAGATCCCTCCCTTGTGGAGTTTTCCCTGTGAGCCTGGATCTTCAGGGACAGGTGAGCACTTTTCCTTTTTCTTTGTAACACCATCTGTTGTGCCAGTCCCTTTGTGGTTACACCTCCTTCCACTGCACCGATCGTTCTGATTGTTACAGACGTCCTCTGCCCCTTCCCTCCTGTAAAGCAAACAAGGCGATGACAGAGCCTTGATTTGAGATAGAGGAGCTATAGAACAGGATATCAAAGAAAGAGGAATCGACTCATCCCTCCCAGCTACAATTTGGCAGAAAGTGGTGAGCTGAGGAATGCAGCCTTCTGCGTTTGAACTGCGGTGTGCTGAAAGGTGAGAGGGGGCTGAGGGGTGGGGGGGGGAGAGCTGTGCAGACTGACTGTGTGTGTGCTGCTGGGAGCACTGCTGAGATGGAGAGAGAGGAAGGCTCCCCCGCTCGAGGTACTCGTGTGCTCACGCAGTGGTTCAGGCTGTGACCTGGCAATTCCACTGCACCACCCGTCCTGCACTGTCCATGTGCCACCTGCAGGTGTTGCCCAGCTTTTGGGGGCTTGCTGTGAGCTCCCTGTCTCAGCACTGCCTTGTGCTCTGGACTTCACAGCATCTTGATGGTGAGTAGTGGTCCTGTGGAGATGCTGAGCAACGATTGTGAGCTGCGCCCTTTTCCTGGACCAGTATCCCAAGCCCTTCTCAGCCCAGGGCCTGTCTCTCTTTCCCTGGGGTTCTGTGGATAAGTCAGCAAGACGGGACTTTGCCAGCCACCTGGTTTCAGGTTCACCACCCCAATGACAGCAGGGCAGTCCTGCAGCTCATGGCAGCCCTACGGCTCTGCTCCTTTGCCAGGCTGGAGAGCTGAATCAGCTCCGATTCTGCAGATCCTTCCCTGAGTCCTGCTGCTAAGCACCGATACTTGTGCATCCTCTGGGCCACATCAGGACTGGAAAGAGGAGTAGATATCAGGCGGAAGGATCTGGCCTTCTGCTGGGTGATAGCCACCTGCATGGCCTGTTCCTGCTTTCTCTTTTCCCCAGGTGACATTGTGCTTCCCAAGGAGTGCGTGGACCTTTCTGATGGGAGCGAGCAGCAAGGAACCGACTGAATCACAGAATCATGGAATCACAAGGTTGGAAATGACCTGTAAGAGTCTCAGCTATAGAGGTCCTATAAGGGTCTCAGCTTCCTTCCTGCCCTGTGCTTGACTGAGGGACCCTGCGACCAGCTCACGAGGTGGCCATGGGCCCAGCTCTGCCAGCTTTCACTGCAAAAGGGAGCAGTTCAGGGATAGACACAGCCTGGGTGAGCCTGAGCTTGACTCTAGCATCTGAGGGAGCTGTGGACATCAGCTGTGGACACGACTCATCGAGGTGTGGGTGAGCTGTGGATGCTCAGTGTTCTTAAGCAGCCCAGCTGTATCTCCAAGGCTTGTAGTCACAATTTCTCTGCGAGGCTGAGATACCCTGAGGATCATGGCGTCTCTCATTTTGCTCTCCTGCCCTTGCTCACAGTCTCTGAGGAACGGCTTGAGCCCTGTGACCACGTCCTTGCTCGTGTGCTGGAGTCACTTTTGTGCATTTTGGTGTCAGGGCTCTTGGGGCAAAACGTGCCTGGACACTGCCACACGTGTAATGCCTTTCTGCGGTGCACACTGGAGGATGTTTTGGATGCTGCTCTCCAGCACCCCTTTCGGAGCAGCCAGTGTGCTTCCCATGGATGCTTGCTGCTGCCCTGAGCCCTTTATAACCTCAGTAGCCCCTGCTATAAGGCAGCATACTTGAGAACTAAAATGGCATGGTTTGTAGGAGGGAGCAGGGGCTTTGTGGCAGGGAGCTGCAGGACATCCTGGGCACAGCATGGCCAGGTGGGAACATCCACTGTGTGTCTGCACTGGCTCTACAAAATTGCCCAGGGGCACAGCATCTCTAGCAAGAAAACCTCTGCAGCTCATTCTGTTCCCTTATCTTTTTAAAAAATTGACACGGTCCAGCTCATTTTGGCCATGGGGCACAGCAGCTCTGACAGCATTCCAGTGCTGTGGCATCCCGCTGCCCGCCTCTCCGAGGGGCCAGGGCTGATCCAGAGCAAGACAGCAGCTTGGCGTTGCAGTGGGAAGCAGAGGTGTGTGGAGTGCTGTAGGTGTGCTGGCTGTGCCACGTTGCTGTGGGGTAGAGCTGGTGCTGCAGTGAGCCCTTGTGGGATGTTGGTGGTGTGTGGGGTTGGAGGGCTGTGCAAGCTGGTTATCGCAGGGCTGGGGAAAGCAGGAATAATGGAGATAATGGAGAGAGGTGGCTTTGGTGGGGCTGCCTGATTTTTCAGGTGCTCCAGAGGGTTGCTGAAGTTGATCAGGAAATGCAGCATCTCTCCCTTATAAATGTTTTGGGCTGAGGCACTGGGGTGAGTGGAATGGCATAGCTGGGTGTGGGAGTGATGGCTTTGGGTTGGGCCAATTCTTGGTATCCCCTGGGTGAGCCAGTGCCCTTGCCCCTGCCTTCAGTTTCACGGACCAAGGGGGAAACAGCCTGCAGGCCCAAGGCTGCCTCGTCCTGTTCCACTTGGCTGGGGGTGGTGTGGGGCTGTGTGTCAGTGGGCTGAAGCCGGCCCCAGGGGGCACCCAGCAGGCTTTGACAGCAGCAGAGGTGGCTGGCTGCGGGCTCTCTCTGCTCCACGCTTTGGTTCACAGGTTTTGGGCTGCTCCCAGTCGTCCTCCATGTCCTCGGGTTGTGGTTCCAGGAAATCCTTCAAGTTGGAGAAGTATCCCCCAAAGGGGTGGCAGCTGATGTGTTTCAGCAGCTGATTGCAGTATGCGTGAAAGAAGCCGGTGAAGACAGCAGGTGCAGGGCCCCCATCCTCAGCTCTTGGGTAAGGCTGTCTGTCCTGCCAGGGGAGCACTGCGATGGGTCCTGCCTCACTCCAGCCTCCCCTGGATGCATCCTTCAATCCTTGTGTCTCCATGCTCCTGTGCTCCTTGAAGTGGGGGTTGGCTGCCAGCCGGCTGGGCTCTGGGTTGGGGTGAGTTCTGCTCGCCGCCCCATTGCCCTCCAGGCAGTGGTGTTAGTGGCAGTGGCAGGACTCTGCCTCACTCACCTGGGCCAGCAGCTTCTTCTTGGCCAGCAGAGACGTGATGGGATGGTTGCCTTTGGAGTGAAAGCTGGGAAAGAGGCACTTGCAGGCTTCATTGTGGGCGCAGCGAGTGCCGGGACACCCCCCAGAGGGTGAGAATGTGCCGGGGCCGTGGGGCTGGCACATTGCTCCACTGGCCAGCCTTGCTTGTGGGCCTCTGTTGGGTCTTCCTGGGTGGGGAATGCAGCCATCAGGAGGTACCCGGAGGGGCAAATCTGCTCAATGCGTCTTTAAGATGGGGAAGAAGAGTATACGTATCTGAGAATGCCTCACTGGTGTAAAAATGTCAGCACTGATGGATAGCTGTGATGGAAACTTGTGTGAGAGCAATAATTCAGTAATAAAATAGGTCAGATCCTTACGCTGAAGCTGGGTACCTTACAAGAACCATTTTGTGATTCGGTGTTTGGCAGTTTGCTCTGCATGATGTGGATGGTGGAGCTGTGATGATGTAATCCATTTCCAGTTGTGAACAGGATTGCTCTAAGAGCTGCTGCAGTGAGATGCGTGTGGGCTGACTGTAAGCTGAAGCGTGATTGCCTCTGAATATCCATGTGTGTGGGGGGATTTTGTTTTTAATTCTGCGATTTCATCCTTGCCCTGCAGCAGCTCTGAAGAGGCCCTTGTTTTCCCAAACCCTGCTTTGCTGCTAATGGAGGCTGATGGCAAGTGCTGTGCTTTGGGCCCTTTGCTTTTAGTTTCTGTGGCCTGTGTACCCTGGAGGGTGCTTTCTTTCACATTTTTTTTGTTTGCTAGCCACCTTTTTGGTAGATAACATTTATTAGGGATGTTCTTGCTCTCCTGTGGTGGGTATGTGTTGGTGCTGGACCAGGGGAGGTTATCAGAAAAGAGAAGAATTTGCTGCACTAATTGAATTGTAGCCTTTTAGACAAACGGAAGTTAAGGTGCTGATACTGCGCTGTGTAGCTGGAGGACTTCCTCAGGAATAACCTGGGTCTTTATCCCCAGTTCCCAATTGGAGCTTCTCCACCTGTTTCTACCCATATTGGAGCAGACCTGTACCTTGGAGGCCAGATCTGGGCAGTGAAAAGCTTAGTCTTGAGGGATGTGGACTGCCCACGTTAGTATATGGAATGTTGAGGCATGGAAGAGAACAGCCAGTTTACAGCTGAGGACTAGTTTGCCTTTCCTCTTAAATTCTTGCCCCTGGTTTCTGTGAGCACTGTTACCCACTGCTTGCAGTGAGACTCAGCCCTGGGTCTGAGGGGGCCTGGTGCTTAGCGAGGTGTAACTGCAGCTCTGCCCTGAAGCAAACTGCAGCCCAGCAGTATCACAGGAGCTGGAACACCTGGTGTGTGCTGGGTTTTAAACTGTACGTGCTTTAATGGCACTGGACTTGTGGGCTGCCACTCGTTCCCTTGGGAAATTTCTGTAAGGCTGTAGGAAGACGTTAGGACTGCCAAGTGTCCTCGTGCCCTTCTGTCAGCGATGACTGTTCTCAAGGCACACATATAAGC